CTAATTGGCTCATCCACCCCGGAGTCCACCTAAAATTAGGTGTAAAATACGCAGTTATAACACGAAAAAGCTATGAAACATCTCTAAACACCATTACGGGCTCCCCTACCCTGGGTCCGGGAACTTCTCCCCTAACACGGCGTCGCACACGCCGCACCCGCCGCCAACCGCAGAATTGCGATGGAAGTTGGAGCGCGCAATTTGTGAGGTAGGGGGCCCTTTAATTATTTGAATTGGGTGACCGCTTCCTTCAATTTCAATGCAGTCTTGATCGCCGCTTACATAGGAGGAGTCATCTTAATTAATCAAGTCTAATGAACATGAAAACTAAAAAGAAACAGAAGGAAAAACGACAAAATCTAATGAGAAAGCAAGCCAGTCAAGGAAAAATATCGCGTCCTATCGATTGGCGGGAGGCGGGGTGAGTACGGTAATTGCAGTGACATTTGCCGCATGCCGCAAGGGAGAACGCCGCGATAGGGGAGAAGTTCCGTTACCCTGGTACTTCCACTCCATTGCAACTTAGCAGTATTCGTTTGAAATTGGGTTCAATTCAAGGGACTATGAAAGCAGCCATTGGGTGGAGAATTGAACAATAAGAAACGAAATCGAATGCACCTGAACTGCTACTCGAATTAGAGCAATCAAACTTGACATCCCGGTCACCTGGTCATCCAACATAAAGTCTACTAGAAATGCTGCATGCACGTCACCGGGTGCGCCTAAAGTGAAACTTTAATGCCCTCTCTAAATAAGCCGTAAGGTCACCATATACCTTCATAAACTAGCCATGTTGTACCAAACTGTTCGCCACTAGTAAGATAGTAGCCTCTGCTCCACAAATCATAGTATACCAGCTGCCTCGCGCGAAATTCGCGAGTGCACGGAACCGGTATATCGAACTCGTCCAACCATTGGTAGATTTCCTCATCGCAATTGACTGGAAATGGAATATACCATCAGACGACAGGTGTGCCTATATGGAAGATTACTTTTCATAAGATTGACCATCCCAGCATCTTCTGAAGATTCCGCTTTCCTTTTCGGTGATACAGCCTCCGAAATTTGTTTTCTTGAAGTCTCAAATCTAGCAATGTCTCGTTTTGTAGTCTGCAAGAGATTACTGCTAAGAGATGCGAAACGAGATGGGAAAAATTCAAACGAAACGATATAAAAGTAAAGGGAGACTTAAACAACTGAGACGGATTTACAACGAGCTTATGTGCGGAAGAGAAAACAGGCTCTAAAGCGGCATTGCAATATCGAGTGAAACTACATAAAGCATGCTTCACTAAACCTTGTGGAACCGAACGCAAAACTTTCGCTGGTAATTATTTCCACAGGCTCGGAAAGTAAAAAATAGCACCAGAAACCTTTTGTTTTGTAGCAGAACAGTCATCTTCCGTTCCGTTTTTCTCCAAAGCTTTCGTATTCCTTCCAGCGACAACCGCTCCAACAGGCTCCTCTCCGCTCTAGAACATAAAATAACCAGCGTGAACTTAAATGACAATTCTCCTATTCCTCGTACCTCGGAGGAAGATTCATCTCCGGAAATGTGACCTTGCTCGGAGGTACACGGAGGAAGTCGCTTCAGCGTTCTTACTCGGCCATATCCTACAATGAACTCATTAAAAGTATGGTCGCAGGTGCGCTTGGATAACAACGAACGTTGAGTGGCAAAAGCCTAATTTAAGGGAACCAGATATTCTGAGGTTCTTTTTTTAAAGAGAAAAGTTGTCATGTTAAGTTCCACGTGTTCGTACATATCATTATCCATTATGTTTAAGCTGATATTATTGTTAATATTCTCGGGAAACGAGCGCACCGTGTTGGACGAGAAGTATCACTTGCTCTGGAGCAATAATATATGGCGATTCGTCGTGTTTGCTCATCGCTGACCGTGGCACAATGTGGAGTTCGTCTCGTAACCGTGCTGCGTCTAAAAAAAGTGATTTGCCAAAACACTACAAAAATCGGATGTCGCTTTCCTTGAAGGGCGAAGAGTTGAAGCATAGTTTAGCGGATTTCGAACAAATCCGGTAAACTTTTGTTGTGTTCTGCACTGAGTGAGAATAACCTTCGAAAACAAGTTTGAAAACATCTACTTACAATCCATCGTTAAGCCTCAACGATTAACCACTAAGTAAAGGCTGAATAAAGTGATGTTTGGAAGTAGTAACAGTGTCAATTTAGGTACACCTAAAGAAATGCAGAAACGCCTAAGAGTGTGCATCAAAGTTATATGGCTTACTTTTTGGTAAGTCAACAACCATTCGCAAAGTTCTCCTAAGCGCATTCGGTTTGCTCCGTCGTTTCCTGTTTATTATTTTCACACGCTATTCCTGTTTCATTCAAATTCTCCGTGAAGGAGAAGAAAACGTTCAGGTTTCCACTCAAGGCGTATTCGGCCCACCTGTCTGGGGGCGACCTCTCTCTATAAGGTGACACAGTGGACGTTATTAGTGGTTAAATGAAAAAGTAAGCAGAAGGATAAAAGAGAATGTAAAGGACAAGGAGAAAGCAAAGGAGAAAAGGTCTCACCATGTTCTGAAAAAATGAAGAAGTTTTCACTGATGTAATCTATCGTGATATAGTTGAGCGAAACTGAGTCCAAGACCTCATCGCTGACATTTCGCTTCTCAATTGTGGGAGAAAATGAGAGTGGTCGTCCGCGTGCGCGCGACGAACACTACTAAAACATGTCATCGAATAAAAAAGGAGATAGATCCAGTTACATTGAATACTCGAGAAAAATGTGATGGTTCAAACCACACATTGGGTGACGAATTCGAATAGAAACGACACGAATTCAATAAAATGTTCATCTCAATGTCTAAGTAAAAAACAATCTTAGAGCCGCAAAGCGAACCGTAGAATCATCACATAATATGCCCAAAATCACGTACAACAATGAGTTCAGAAACTAACTCTATTTGCTACCAATGACTTTCATTTCACTGACACTCGAATTCGAAGCAATCGTTATAGCTTTCAAAATACTGTTTTCAGCCCACATACTGGTTGAATGAACTGAAGGAACTAAAACGTGAATATTCCATCTCGTCTTCAGCGACTGCAAGTACGAGCCCTCTGAACCTCGTCTCAAAAAAGAGCGAAAAAATTGATAGGCTCCGTTCACACGACATAAAACACAAGGTAATGCCACAGAGCGAAGAATATATAAGAGTAGCTAACTTCGTAGCGTTGTAATTCCGTCCCTCATTGCGTCAGTCTTTTTATACAGTGTGTTTCAAAAGTATGTGCACACCAAACATTTTGTTTTTTTTGGGGATACCATTACTTTCTGTAACCTGTGACCTTAACCATTCAATTCCTTGTGGGCGATAACCTACGAACACTTTCTTTGAGAGTTTTTTATTGAAGGAGAATTTTCCTTTGTTTCAAAAGTATGTGCACACTTAGCAAAAAACAAAAATATAACCGAGATCAGAAATCAATAGGGCCCCCTGAATTTCTG